TCAATTATTAGTCGGATTATCTTATACTTTTTTTAAATATAGGGGAGGGTTCTACTGAGAACCCCTGTTTTTGTCTTCCTTTTTTAAGTTTTTTATTATAAATTTATGTGAGCAAATTAAAAAAGTTAATGAATGCAGAAAGCTAAGGAAATAAAAGTTCATGAAACAAAAGCGCTAATAGAAAATGAAGGAAAAAAAATAAATAAAATAAAATTTTCCACTCAATTGTTAGCAAGATTATCTTCTAAAAACTAAAAGCACTACATATGAGAGAAACAATTCTTTCGCTTAATTATTAGCAAGCTTATGTTGTTATATCTAAAACAACTACATATTAGAGAGAAAATTATTCAGTTCAATTGTTATATGACTTGTGTTATACCTAAAAGCATTACATATGGAAAATAAAATTTTCACTCTCAACGTTTAGCCGACTTATCTTATCTTATCTTATATTATCTTATCTTATCTTATATACTTAAAAGAACTACATATAAGAGAGAAAGTTCTCTCACTCAATTGTTAGCAAGTTCATCTTCATAGCTACTTATATCTAAAATCACTACATATGAGAGAGAATTATCACGCTCAATTGCTTAGTCTTTTTATCTTACATTGAAAAGAACTACATATGAGGGAGAAATTTATTCTGCTCAATTCTTAATAAGTTTATCTTCTAATACATAAAAGTAATACATATGAGCGATAAAATTCTCCGACTCAATTCCTCCATTCAATTGTTAGCAATTTTATCTTCTAATAAATAATAATAATACTTAAAAGCACTACATATGAAAAATAAAATTCTCCCGCTTAAGTCTACAATAGTAACTAAATTCAAGTATATTTGTATTTTTGAATCACTTACATATTGTAAAGATATTATTTAGGAATCATGTGAGACTCTTTCATAAGTCTATCTCATTGGTATTACTTTTAAAAGTGATTTGATTCACCGAAAATAACAACAACAACAACAATAATAATAACACTTCATCCGTCCCATAAAATTCTTTCCGATTTGACTTGGATCAGAGTTTAAGAATGTGGAAATAAAGTGAAAATGTGAGGTTGTGGTTGAGTAAAAAAAGGGTAAATGAATCTTAGCGAGTTGCTACATTGGGAATCATCTGAAACTCTTTTGTAAGTCTATCTTGATTGTATGTACAGAATTTAAAGTCCACAATAATAACCAAATTCAAGTTTATTTATATTTTTGAGTCATTTACATGTTATAAAGATGTTATTTCAACATGTTCATCTAAATAACTTTTATTGTGGAATAACATCTTTATAAATTCTCATTTTCTTTACTTTTACAAAAAAATTCAAAAAGTCCCTTTTTATTAGCCACTAGTCTCTATTTTTAGCGAATTCTTTTGAAATTGATGAAATTCTGAGAGAAGTAGCTGAATTGGTTGAATGAACAGTTTGAAAACACTTATTTTATGGGTAAATTTAAGTTAAAACACTTTTATTAATCAAATAAAGAAAAACATTCTATGAAAAAAAGCTGAAAAAGAACAGTTTCAGTAAATTCAGCCAATTCAGACAGCAAAATAGATCAGAAAATGTATATAGATAATTTTTAAGCATAATTATTATAGAGACCTGTAATAAATTATATTTTTATATATTCAATATTGATCTCATATAAAAGATTACAAAAAGTTATGAATTTTGATGTATATTTTGTAAAAATTGGAACAAAAATGAAAAAGTTATAACAATTTTAAAAAATCGTTGTTTTTTTATATCTTAAGGCCCCACCAATGCATCTCTCTATGGCTGCTCCCTTCTATTCCACAGGAGAGTCTCCTGTAAAATCAGTCATGGGCATTGCTAGAACAAAAGAGTAAATTAAGAAGACTTAGGGGTTGTTTACTTTTTTCATTAAATCTTGAATGGATTAAGATGTCTGTCTGCATTAAGCTGCCTGTCTGAATTAAGTGACGATGGATAACAAACTGTTTACTAAGTGTGCTGAATGAAAAGTCTGAATCACGTTAAATGACCAAATATTCCTTCTGTCTGGAACAAGTGTTGAATGTATATTGTCTGTTTACTTTCTCTGTTCTGAAACATAATTTCAGATGCCGGAGAATAATAGTGCTATAAATTATAAAAATAAAAAAGTCACATTACATAATAAGAAAAAATCATTCGTCTTTATGAGAACAACACTTTAAATTTAAACGTTTCCTTCTAATCTATTAGCGATTTCATTCCACAAATTCATCATATATTGTAGACTTGTTCTACATGCGCTTCTTCTCCAATATCTTCAGGTTCCAATTGCTTGTACCGTTCTGATAGCGTAATTGCCTCTTCAACACTATGGAACTTTATTGTGAAAAAGATTTACAAAATGCATGTAGAAAAGACATTCTAAAGTGGGAGGATGCAAATAAACATGGGCATTATCATCAGAAGATATTCATATTACAGGACCATTTACATCCGTAGAACATATTACAAGCGATGAAACTTTATTGGCCATTATCATCTTAATTGAGTTGTTTATATAACAATGAAAGGGCAGGGAAGCACATGTAAAGGCCAATGAATTCAAGGTGATCAATTTAATCTCGATTCACATAATATGAAACAAAACAGCAGCTCAGAATGGGCAAACAAAAAAATCAGGTTCTAAATTACATTGATTTCGTGTATGTTAATTCACATCTACGTTCAAGTTCTAATTTTAACACTATAGCAATTACACGACAATCTCAAATTCCTGAAAAAGTGTTCTTTTCCACACTTTGCAGGTCTCTAGAAGGCAACTCCTAGAATGGCCTGTGCTCTTTATAATCCTGAAAGGAAGTATAATAATAGCATTGCAACAAAAAATTCATTATTTGATTCATAAGACAATCTATCATTCCTCTACAAAGAGAAACACCACCACGTGTACTGCAGACAATCCCCAGATAAAATTACACACAAATTGAATAGAAACAAGTTTCAAAACATAATCACTCTTATGTAACTATATTCTTTTAAAAATTTCATTCAGACATTTTTACAGGCAGTTTATAGATATAAGAAAACAAAAACTTAGGAATGAAGTCCTTCATGTTCATAACAACTTAAATGCAATTACACCAATATAAGAAAAAACTATACACAAGTCGAACAAGAAAAGCCTTTTTACCTAGATAGTTAAGGAAGGAACCTGCAAACTGAGAGTAGCTATGGGCGATCTGGAAGAAGCTACTGGCGACTTAGACAGAACCTGCGAACGAGAAGAAACTGTTTGCGAAGGTGCTAGGAAGAGCCGTTCGGGACTGTGAACTGGAGACTTCTATTTTCGAGGAATACCTGCGTCGATGTTTATCGGAATACTTGTAGCGAGGAATACCCGCGTCGATGAACCAGCAGCGAGGGACACCGGCAGTGAGGATCGTCGGGAAAACTTTGGGAAATGGAAGAGGAGGTGGCCGTAAGAGAGGTTAGGGGAGAAGAATGGGATGAACCGATGAATGGGAACGAGGGTTAAAAAGAGAGAGCCGATAAACGTGAATGTCTGAACGCAAAGGAGGGTTGATTTTGGGCTGAATCTGTAGAGTTACTGGACCGGCTCAGACCTCAATCACCATAACTCAAGGGCTAGCTCACCATTCACCACCAAGGAGTCAACAAGGGAAAACCAGAGGGCATCTAGTCTCAAACGCTCAGTTTAGTGCCCAACCCTCCCAAACCAGACTGCCCAGAGAAAACCCACCGGAGAAGAAACCCCCCACAAGACTACCAGTACAGAGTGAAGCCCACAGAAGGACCCCAAAGGTATCACCGGAGGGTAGCCGGAGCTCAAACCCTAGATGATACCAGCACTCTCTCACTCTAGAACTGGGGTAACCGGAAAGACCTCTCATCAGATAGAGAGAGGAAGGGGACGATCAAATAGTGGATTCCAGAAGGAACGGGCAATATAAGGTAAGGGCCACAGAGACATGGGTTTGGGCAAAGACAAAGGAGGGCAAGTGGGCTAAGTCAGGCGGACAGCCCAAACGGGCCAGGAGGATAAGATTAGCAGACAGGTCATTAAATGGGATGGACCAAGGGGCCAGTGAGGTGGACCAATACCAACTCACAATCTCCACCTTATTGGTCCCCCCGGTGGTGTAGAGCACAACGTGAATGGGAGTATCATCATCGCCGGTTTTGTACCTATTCTTATCTAGCCACAGTCTAAATTAAGAGTTCGTTTACAAGACAAAAGTTTTTCAAAATTGAGACATTTAGTCCCCATATCTGCAGGGTTAAATTCTGAAGGTATCTTGGACAGCTTTATCCAACCTGCATCCACAATATTCCTAATAAAATGGAACCTGACATCAATATGCTTGGTCCTGTCATGGAATACAGGATTCTTGCATAATTGGATAGCAGACTGACTATCAGAGTACACTGTCACAACCTGCTTAAGAAAACCAATTTCAGTTAGCATTCGTTTAAGCCAAATAGCCTCTTTAAAGGCCTCAGTGGCTGCCACGTATTCAGATTCAGTAGTGGACAGTGCAACAATAGGTTGAAGTTGAGATTTCCAACTTATGCAGGAACCACAAAGAGTAAAAATGTAGGAAGTAGTAGACTTTCTATTGTCCCTATCATTTGCATAATTGGAGTCAACATAGCCAGTAAGTAAAATGCCAGTTTCAGTTTTAGAAAAAACAAGACCATGAGAAGGTGTACCCCTAAGGTATCTAAGGAGCCATTTAAGGGCAGTCCAGTGAGACATACCAGCGTTTGCCATATATCTACTTAAGCAACTAATAGCATAGGCTATATCAGGCCTTGTGCTTACCATGAGATACATGACTGACCCTATAGCACTGGAATAGGGTACAGCCTTCATCCTATCTATCTCAGGAGCAGTCCTTGGGGACTGATCCTTGCTTAGCACAAAATGGGGTGCTAAGGGAACATTCACAGGTTGGGCAGAGTCAATTTTGAACTTTTTCAAAACCTTTTCAAGATAGGAGGTTTGGTTCAGGGTAAGGGTACACCTACTCCTATCCCTAAGAATATTAATCCCTAGGATTCTCTTAGCATCTCCAAGATCTTTCATAGCAAAGTTTTCACAAAGGCACTTTTGAACTATCTTAATAGCATTCACAGAGGGGCTAATGATAAGCATGTCATCAACATAGATTAACAAGAAAACAGGTACAGCAGCAGTATTCTTAAAATACAAACAAGGGTCAGAATCAGACCTTTTGAAACTCAGGGAAGACATACACTGGTCAACTTGATATTCCATTGTCTGGGAGACTGTTTCAGGCCATAGAGGGCCTTCCTAAGTAGACAGACATGTCTAGGGTACTTAGGGTCAATAAAACCCTCAGGTTGGCTCATGAAAATCTGTTTATCTAGTTCACCATGAAGGAAAGCAGTGGTAACATCCATCTGCTTCATCTCCCAGTCATTATGGGCAACTAGGGCAAGCATCATCCTAATTGTTGTGAATTTTACTACTGGAGCAAAAATTTCAGCATAGTCTACCCCTTCCTTTTGAGTGAAACCTTTTGCCACTAACCTAGCTTTAAACCTAATGTCATTTGGTTCTTCTTTAACTTTGAAAAGCCATTTGCACTCAACAACAGAACAATTAGGAGTCCTAGGAACTAGGGTCCAGGTTTTATTCAACTTAAGAGATTCTATCTCACTTTGCATAGCACATAGCCAATTTTTAGATTCTCTAGAGGCAAGGGCTTCCTGGTAGGTTTTAGGCTCATTCAACTCAAGAGTTTCAAAGACAGAGAAAGCAAATAATGAAGTATCATACAGGTGAAAAGCATAGTCAGTCATACTATCATAAATCCTCTTAATGTTTCTTCTAGTCCTATCTCTGGCTAACACATAATCATCTAGACTCTCATTCTCAACTTGGATCTCTCCAAGTTCTTCATTATCAGCAAAATCAGATTGAACAATCACATCATGCAGATTTTCATCATTACCACTGGGCTGTTCCACCTCACTAGAGGTGGAGTGGGTGTCATGCATAGTGTTGGTCAAATCAGGAGTACTAGACTCATTCACCAGAGGGGCAGTAGTGGTCTGGATGGGCTCCACCTCACTAGGAGAGGTGCCATCATGCACAGTTTGAGGGTCAGTCACATGTTGAACTAAGCAGGGAAAGTCACTTTCATTGAATACAACATTTCTGCTTATGATGACCTTAAAACCACTCTGGTTCCTATCCCAGATCCTATATCCTTTAACACCTTCAGGATATCCTAAGAAAATGCATTTCTTAGACCTAGGGTCCAACTTATCAGACTGTTGATGTACATAGGCAGCACACCCAAACACTTTTAAGTTTGACAAGTCCAGGGGTTTCTTAGAGAAGACAGACTCAGGACACTTACCTTCTAAAGGTACAGAGGGGGATCTGTTTATCAGGTAGGTGGCAGTATTGACAGCTTCTCCCCAAAACTTCTTGGGGAGGCCAGAAGTGGCAAGCATGCTCCTAACTTTGTCTAGGATGGTCCTATTCATTCTCTCAGCTAAGCCATTCTGTTGGGGAGTATAGGGCACAGTTTTGTGTCTCCTAATCCCACTCTCAACACACAACCTATCCATATCCTTATTGCAGAATTCTAAGCCATTGTCAGTTCTAAGGGTTTTAACCTTACATCCAGTTTGATTTTCTACCATAATTTTCCATTCTTTAAACCTAACATACACATCAGATTTATGTTCTAACAAGTAGACCCAGACTTTCCTAGAAAACTCATCAATTATGGACAGAAAATACCTCCTACCCCCATGGGTAGGGACACTGGAAGGACCCCATACATCTGCATGTATGTAGTCAAGGACAGCTTTAGACTTAGGCTCACTAGAATAGCTAGAAACTGGAAACTGAACCCTATGTTGTTTACCTAGGACACAACCCTCACAGAAAGGTATGGGTGACACCAAGTCATTGCCAAAACATCCAGTTTGTTTCAAAATATTCAATCCTTTATTACTCATGTGACCCAGTCTTTGGTGCCAAAGCACAGACTTGTCACTGAGTACAGCATTAGCATTTTCAGAAAAAGGTTTGGCATGCACAACATAAAGGTTATTTTGTTTCAAGGCTTTAAACAAAACAAGGGAGTTTTTCAAAATCTTCATACACCCATTTCCCCATTTACCCTCAAGACCACATTCTTCAAAAACAGAAACAGAAAGCAGGTTGTGCCTAAGATCAGGGACATGTCTAACATTTTTTAATTTGAAAACAGTTCCATTTTCAAACTTAAGACTTATGTCACCCACACCATGGACCTTACACTTCTTATTGTCAGCTAAGGACACATAACCAGAATCACAAGCACTATAAGAAGCAAACAGATTTTTAAAAGGAGTCATGTGGTAGGTACAACCTGAATCTATTAACCATTCAAATTCAGTTAAGTTGCTTAGGGCAGAATTAGCATGATCACAGATCATGAACACTTCTTCACTAATTTCCTTATCAGTCACAGAGTTGGCCTGTTCATTTCTTTTGGGTTGGGTACAATCTTTGATGAAATGATCTGGGTTCCCACAGTTATAGCACACCCTTTTCTAAGACTTATGCCTTTTCTTGCTAGGTTGTCTGCCATTCTTATCCTGATTGTCCTTTTTAGGGTGTTTAGACCTACTTTTAGATCTTCCCCTAACAACCAAAGCTTCCCCAGATTCCCTATGATGGTTCCTAGAATGTTTTAAGTCAAGTTCTTTACTTCTCATGCCATTAATAACAATATCAAGGGTTATGTCATCCCTCCCATATTTTATGGAAGACTTAACATCATTATAGGAATCAGGTATAGCATTTAATAAGACTATGGCAGTGTAGTCATCTATATGTTTATCCCCAGCCTGCTTAATGTTTTGGATTAGCTTGTTAAAAATATCTAGGTTTTCATCAATATCTTTTGTTAGGTCAAGCCTAAACCTAAAAAACTTTTCCAACAAAAACAGTTTGCCAGGAAGGGAAGTATCAGTATATAGAGACTCAACTTTATCCCAGAGGTCTTTAGCAGACTCAATGACTCCAACCTTTCTAAGGACAGAGTCAGACAAGTTTAAATATATGGTTGAGCAGGCTATTTCATTCATTTCAACTTGTTTAGGTTTTTCCTCAGTTTCTAAGTATTGCCCAGTAATAGCTCTATGAACTTTCTGTTGTATTAACACACATTTTAGTTTTTGTTTCCAAATATCAAAGTCAGTCTTACCATTAAAAGGCATCATACCATACTGGTTTGAGGCCATGATAACAGTCAAGCACACACAATTAATGAGCCAACTGTAATGCAGGAGCCTAGCCCTAGAAGGTTAGACTGCGGACTAAGGGACCACGCAGATCCGGGGCCACAGAGGTGGCTGGCAGGGAATCCCCTAGCCCTAACCTCAGGTGCCTTAGCCAACTAGGGTTTCACAGCCACAGTATTACAATGGATCAAAAATTATCAACACAAAAAACAATATTGGAAGCAGATAACAATAACAACAACAGAGGACTGGCAAACAAGTAGAAAACACAAAGGTGCTCAGATAATATTACAGACAACTGTGGGCTAAGTTCGACACAGATTAGCACCACCCATGCACTAGTTCAACAACCTAGGGTTTCTGCAGACCTGTCTTAGACAGAATCTACACATGCAACGGATAAAAGAATTGGGGTTTCTAACCGGCAGCTCCTCAACCTAGGGTTTCAGAACTACCCATGCAACACAGAAGCCGGTGGCACTCCGGCAGCCCAAGATAGGGTTTAAGCTAATATACCTGAGCGGGAGTCTAGATTAGACTTCCCGACTTACCAATCCGAGGAGGAGCCTAGGCGTTACCAGTTTTGGGGAAGTTCTTCCGGCGAGTCTCCGGCGTCGGTGAGAGGAGGCAGCTTCCAGCTCTGATACCACTGTAGAGTTACTGGACCAGCTCAGACCTCAATCACCATAGCCCAAGGGCTAGCTCACCATTCACCACCAAGGAGTCAACAAGGGAAAACCAGAGGGCATCTAGTCTCAAACGCTCAGTTTAGTGCCCAACCCTCCCAAACCAGACTGCCCAGAGAAAACCCACCGGAGAAGAAACCCCCCACAAGACTACCAGTACAGAGTGAAGCCCACAGAAGGACCCCAAAGGTATCACCGGAGGGTAGCCGGAGCTCAAACCCTAGATGATACCAGCACTCTCTCACTCTAGAACTGGGGTAACCGGAAAGACCTCTCATCAGATAGAGAGAGGAAGGGGACGATCAAATAGTGGATTCCAGAAGGAACGGACAATATAAGGTAAGGGCCACAGAGACATGGGCTTGGGCAAAGACAAAGGAGGGCAAGTGGGCTAAGTCAGGCGGACAGCCCAAACGGGCCAGGAGGATAAGATTAGCAGACAGGTCATTAAATGGGATGGACCAAGGGGCCAGTGAGGTGGACCAATACCAACTCACAGAATCATTAAGTCAAAAATGGTCTGAGCGAATAAGTCATGGTTTAAAATAAGTCCTAAGTAAACAAGAGTATATGGCTGACCGAATAAGTCGTTGTTTCCATACATACCATTAAGTCGAAAGTAAACAACCCCTTAGACACATAGGATTTAATAGGGTTAAAATTGTATTTAGATGAGTTATTTCTTTTCTTATACGATAGTATATAAATAGAATAGAATAGATTTGCCCATTTCTTCGTAAAAAGAAAGAATAATAATCGTAGGGTTGAAGAATTCAAATTACTCATTGTCTTCCATCCAGACCAATCCAAAATAGAACTAAACAAACCCACTCGATGTTTTATTTTATTAGAACTAAATATATTTTCGTTTTGCGGATTTTTATATATCAAACCAGTGCACATTAAATCATTAAATACTTTAAGAAAGTTTTCTTTAAAAAATTAGTATTTTTATATTTTCCCTTTCATGGTCTAATTTTGATTTTAGAGACCGATTAATAGTACTAAAATTTGTTGAATTTGTTGAAATGGATGAAATTATGAGAAAATTGGTTGAATTAGTTGAATCTATTGATTTATGGGTAAATTTAATTTAAAACACTTTTATTAATCAAATAAAGAAAAAAATTATATGAAAAATGGCTAAAAATGAGCAGTTACACTAATTTCAGCCAATTCAGACAGCAACATAGATCAGAAAATGTATATAGATAATTTTTAAGCATAATTATTATAGAGACCTATAATAAATTATATTTTTATATATTCAATATTGATCTCACATGAAAGATCACAAAAAGTTACTCCGTTCTATTTTGACTTTTGATGTATATTTTGTAAAAATTGGAACAAAAATGAAAAAGTTATAACATTTTAAAAAAATTGGGTGTTTATATCTTAAGGCCACACCAATGCATCTCTCTATGGCTGCTCCATTCTATTCCATTGGAGAGTCTCCTGTAAAAATAGTCATGTGTCATTGCTAGAACAAAAGAGTAAATCAAGGAGAGGTAGACGTACACATAGGATTTAATAGGGTTAAAATTGTATTTAAATGAGCTATTTCTTTTCTTATATATAAATGGTGGTTATAGGATATTTTTGGTATTAAGAATACAATTACCAGGTTCAAAAGAATAATCCGAGTAAATAATCTGGTAAAAGCGAACTAAATATACATGGACCTTATACCCACCGTTAATTCTAGATTCTATATATCCTACATTCATGTAAAATGAAAGAGCATAAAAAATTATGAATTTTGATATATTTTTTTGTAAAAAATAGAATACAAATAAAAAGTTATAATACATCAAATAAAATTGGGATATAATTTTACATGGGCTC